AATTATTTCTTTGGAATCCTTCTATTGTTTATATTTTTTTTAACTATTAAATAATTTAAGTATTCTATCATTAAATTTGTGATGTTTTTGTATAATAATTAAGTATAAGTGAAAATAGTTTAAAAATTAAAATTATTTTTAGTTAGAATAATAAAGTTTTAATTTTTTAGGATTGATTAAAAATATCCTTACCTAAATTCTAATTACTATATGTAATTAAGAATTAAAAGATAAATATTCAAATTTTATACTTAATATAAATGAAAAATAATGATAATTAAAATCAATTAATAAAAAAAAAATTACCTAATGGCTTAGTCAATAGATAAATATTATTAAGTAATCTAATAAACAGAATATAATATGAATTATATTATATATATATATATATATATAATGTATAAGTTAAATCAATAAAACTATTAATTAAAATTATAAATATATACAATTCCATAATACTCACATTTATAGAAACTGTTTCCTTGCCTTCAAATGTGAATTTCTGCAAATCTGGCTTCAAAAATAAATCATATAATACTGGCTTAACAGATTTTGGTAGTCGTAAAAATGGTTTCTTGACTCCAGCCATTTTATAGTCTTTTTTCGTGAACAATTTTGATATAAATAATCGAAAACACCTATGAAATGTTAACAAAATAAATCACTAAGAACAAAACCGATATATCCTGCAATGATGTGACAGATTCGCGTGTATGTCATAAACACTATACAGTATATACATATATACAAACACGCTCATATACATATACTGCTTTCAATTACATTAACACACTAACACGGTTCTAGGTATCCTCCTCTTCATACCCCAACAGAACATAACGGTAAACCGAGTTTGCGGTTTTTTATGCTCCTATATACATATAAACAGAAACCGGTTTTTCGCACAAAGTAGGCCTATAAAAATATTCTTTAATGAATAACATCTATAGTAATATTATTCATGAAACAAGAATCAATTGCAAATTGCGTTACATTTTTAAAGACGCGATTTTGAAAGTTAATCAAATAGAATTCCTATCTACCAGAGGGTCAATAACATTGAAACATTACGCGCGTTTTTTCGCTGAACGATCATATGAAAAACACAATATTATTATGCATCATACAACATAATGGTTCAGGTTCAAAAACAATAATAATAAGAGATTATGCGGTACAATTTGTTTTAAAAGAAAACAGAAACGTGTAAAATTAGAAAAATTTACTCACTGTTGATGGTGTTTAAATTGATATTTTTAATTCGATTTTATATCGAACTATAGTCGCTACTTGTAATTTATTATTTTTTTTATCGGCAGTTATTTTTTTGGGATATGTAACGATAATCAACCGGATGACGATAAAACTCAACAGTGAACGAACAATAACTTCGATCAAGAGACGAGAACGAATATTGGATAATGAATCAATGAAACCACAAACGTGCCAGTATACCACACGGTTAACACTTAACAGATAAACATTAAACACTAAACAGTGAACAGTAACAGCGACGAGGGAACACGTAGAGAACTTGCCTACTTTAGATTCTAAATTATTTTGGAAGGGAAGAAAAACGTAATATAAAACACAGCCCGGTTATCCTGGATCCCGTATCGTGGCATTCCATTGGTCGTCGGCGTCTAACAGTCGGGCCACAACCCATTAGCCGTTCCACATCGTAGTATTGTACCGAGTTTAGTTTATAGACGTTTTAGTAGGCCTCACACAGAGTACATCCGCTACCGATACGTGTATTCAATGTGGCGACACTCTACTGTCCCGTCAATAAGACCACGGGTGATAACAGGTTATAATCTCATCGAGTTGCACGGGCCTGATATTTATTATCAAAACAATGGTTCATCATTTGTGTCCGGTGATAAAAATATAAAGTAAATATTTATTTTTATTTATTGCAGTCGCAGTGTAACGATCGTTGTTTACTCTACGTATTTTTTAAATACTCGATCCTCTATCTTATTCATAAGACGCGTAATGATGAACAATAATATGTAATAATAATTACTCACAACATAGATCATTCGTTTCAATTATCGATACGTTTTGATTGTGCCACAGAGATCATTGAATGATTGTTGTTCCTACGCGTATTCCTTAATTGCTTGTCGGAGTACATGTGTATTACTAACCACTGTCTTTGACGAAATTCACGTTGTTTAAGTTGATTTATTTTGAATACCTTAACCGGGTAACGAAAAAGCTGACATGAACAGGCCAAGAAATCAAGCCGAACAAGAATTGAAAGCCAGAGCTCGCATATATGTTGCAAACATACCGCAGGCTGGTATGACTCGCAAGGAAGTGGTGTCTGTATTTCACAAGTACGGCGAAATTGACAGTAAGTTAATAGTTTAAAATTATAAATATATTTATTTTGTATTTTGATATTCTTTGTATATCTGGTCTTTGATTTTCATAGAAATTCCTTTTATTTTCAGATGTTTCTCTTCAGACTAGACATGTTTTTGTTCAATTTGTAGAAGAGTCTTCTGCACTCAAAGCCTTAGCTCAAAATCCTCCAGATTATATTATGAGCAAGAAACTTGGTATGTATATTTGTAATACTTTTGTTTAGGTAGATTACAAATATTTGTATATATTACAATTTGTTAAGTTATGTTAAAACTATTTTTAATTTTTGATTCAGATGTAAAACCAGTAAGACCTTTCTTTTATAGAAATGGAGAATTAGTAAAAAATGAAAGAGCAGCAAATTTTGATGCTAATGAAAAAAGGTATACAATTGATTTATTAAATTGAACCAAATAAAGTTAATATGGAATTGATTTGATGAGAAATGCAATGTACTGTTTTCAAAATTTTAAACTTTATAAGTTATTTACAATTTTTGTCATTTGATATTTTTAAAGTAATAGTACTATCAATATTCAATACAGCTTAATTATATTTGAAAATTAGTATTTTGCTATTTCAAAGATCTTAATGAAAGTTATATCTTTAAATTACTGCATTATTGTATAACTCTCAGCTCGTCTCCTCTTTTAACTTCTACCACTAAAAAAAAAAAAAAATTTGATATACATAGAACTTAAAGAATTTTAGTACAAAAATCTTTAGTTTTAATAATGTCTAGTGGTCAAATATCTAAATAAGGTTTAAAATTTAACAATTAGTAGAATGGATCATGCAGTTAAACTAGAATTGAACCTGTAATTTTTTATTTAGTTTTAAAAATGGTGCATTCAATTCAATTAATTATCTTAAACTAATATCAAGAGTGAATTAGATCTAAATGTTATTTAAATCTTATCCTAGCTTATTAAAAGTTATATTGTATAACACAACATTATGATTTCAGAAATGATAACCGAAACCAGCCAAGAGATTTGTAAGTAAAATATTATTTTATTATTTTTGTAATTCATAATATTTTATAAGCAGAGATAGTAAACCTTTTTCTGATTGATACATTTTTATTGAGGCACTATCAAATCTTTGTTACTTTCTCATTGATGAATAAGATTTAATATAAAATTTATTTATTTATAAGAACTTACTTAGTAAATAACATAATTTTATTTTGTCTATGTTCTTATCTAATCAATAATGAATTTCAGTATTATAATTTATAATTAAGGAAAATTAATCAAGTATAAGCTATAAAGTTTAAATGTACTAGGTACACGTTAGAAACCATTTTATTGGGAGTTTTAAACAATTAAATATAGAGGACAATTTAAAATGTTTATTTTATTACTTACATATTTTTATAATTTTAGTGATGATTTTAAATCAACCAGATTAATTAATCCTAATGCGATGAATCCAAATGCCCCTAATGATTGTGAAATTGTTGTCACCAACAATTCCTTAACGTAAGTCTTAAAATATATATTTTTTATTTTACTTTTTTGTAAGATAAATAATAGTTTTTAATGTAACAAGTTATCAAATGTTTTATTATTATATAGGGAATATGCAGAGTTTTTAGAAGTAAACTTAAAAAAAATGAACATGAAGGTGGATTTATTATTTCCTAATCCTGATATACCAATTAATCGTGTTCTTGGAACTTTAGCTCAAAGAGGGACATTATATGTTTTAGTTGTACGTGATGAAAATAAATTGTATAGAAGCGTTACTGTTGATATACTCCATGGTATACCTGAAGGTAATATATTATAAAATATCTAATAGACCAATAATTCTCAACCTTTTTTAAACATGGTATATTTAACTCTTCTCATAATTTTTGCAGCATTTGAGCAATTTTTTCTTTAACACATTTTTAGATTATTTTAATGTATTGTAAATTGGTGACAAAAAATGTTCTATTTTTAATGATAATACTGTCTGCCTGTATCACAGTTGTAGAACACCGATTGAAAACCACTATGATAAAATATACATAAATAATATTTAATATATGTAAATATTATAACATCTTATAAACATCTCTTATCCTAATCAATTTTAATCCTTAACAAAATGTTTTCATACATATAATTTAATACATTCAAAGCATTTAACAATTTTTGGTTACTAGTCTTTACTCACCATTCATACTTTTATTTGTGTTTCTAAAACAAAATATTTTTATGATTCATTTTAATTTTAAATTTAGAAGTATTTTATTTTAGGATGGAAGTATGAAGTATTAGAGTATCACTCAAGATTGTGTTGCATTTCATTAATATTAAATTACAAATATTTATTATAGATATATAAATAAATAAATAAATCACATCTCAAATAATTTTAAAGTTATAGTCAAACTTAAAATGATGATATTCGTTTAGTATGTGACCTACTGGTCGAGGGACTTACCGTATAAGGTGTTCGTTTTGCATGTATGACCTACCAGACCAATAATTAATTTAAAAACATTCAAATTAAAAATTATATAATTAGGTTATTTTATTATTACAGAATATCAGTATAAAAAAAAAAAAATCATAAAATTTAATCATTTTTGGCAATACACTTTTTGTACATCGCTTAAAAATTTAAAAAAAATCATGTCTTGCCTGTTGATAGATCGATACCATGCCTCAATTAAATGACGTGGCAACATCTCGGTGATGTTCCATGCATTTTTCGTAGGATTTTAGTTTTTAATACTCCCCATGAACATTCAATTGCTTGTGTATGAGCTCCAGTAGTTGGATCAACAAAATTTTTTGAATGGTTTATTGTTTTATGATCATAGCCTATATTTTTTAAACAAGAATATGCTCTCCATTTATCTGACATTATAATAGAACCATGTAAAATATTTTTTTCGATAATCAAAATTAAAGTTTTTCTATCACATGTTTCTACAACAAAAAACCTTTGTTCCAAATTATCTCCGATTTTGCTACATAATCCAAATACCCATGGTCCTTCTAGTCTACAACCATAATTTCTGTTTAATGTAGGTGAATTAACTAGATTTATTTGATTTTCTTGATCACTATCAGAATTGAAGTCTGCCGAATTATCTTGTACTTGTTCATGACGCAGGTCACCTAGCAGCAGTCTTCCTCGGTTATACTTCCTTCTCCCTTTCAATAACGATTTATCAATTTGTACCACTATATTTTGTCCTCCCATCTTTTCATGTTTTTTAAATAATGAACAACACACGTCTCTACACAAATTAAACCAGTCAACAATGGTTGCATTTTAACGACCTGTTAAATTAGAAACAGTTTTAATGGGTAAATCTTGTGATCAATAATAAATAAGTTAAAAATCCATTTGTTGATCGAATTGATTTATATGTCTGACATCCTTTTGTAATACATTGTATAGTGCTGATTTCTCGAATTTCACCTGTAGCCAATCTTTTTTTCCTCATGTACATCTTTGTTTCATCGTGATATTTATGACATAAATTAGTTTCGTTATATTGTGGTAACAGTTTATTCTTTCGTAAAAATTCTAATACTGTTTTTTCAGAAGAAATAATCGCATATAATTCAACTTCCAACATTTTAAAGTTTTAAACACGCAATATCGGATTAACGACAGAACATGTACTGATAATATTGTCGATAATGTTAGAATGACAAAATATCTATTGGTAAAAATCAGTAAATATAGTATAATATAATTATAAAGTTAAGCAAGCATAGGTTGTTCATACCTATAATATAGATAATCGTCTTGGTAAGTCATACACTAAACTCACTAATACAGGTAGATCACATACTAAATTTGATTTTCGATCGGTAGGTCACATACTAAACAAATACCAAAATTATTAAAATATTTCATTTTTCATTTTTTTTTTTTTTTTTTAAATAATAATAGTAAGTGATTTGTATTAAAAATATTGTAATATAAAACTGATAGATCCTTATTCTTTTGTTTTGTAACATAAATGTATATTTATTTCAATAAATATTAATATATTATTTTTATATTTCCAGAACACCGAAACATGCCTTATAAAGATGCATTAGCATTTATTGTTCATAGTTTTGATGCATTTATTAGAGGAGAGAAAATGACTCCCATACCTGGGCTTTCAGGCATTCCTATATCTGAATGTGGCTTACCTTTAGGTGATAAACATCCTGAAGGAATTATCACATTGTTAAATTTATTACAGGATCAAAGAGATATAACAGTACTACAGTATGATATGGTAAAAAATTATTTTTAAATAGTAATGTAGATTTATTTGATTTATTCATACTAAACTATTTATGTATTTTTTAATAAATCTAAAATTTAAGAATACATATTTTTTCAAATATCAAAATTAGTAAATAAAAAAAATAAATAGTTGCAATTGTCAAAATAGATTGGGCCATTGCTTTATCAATATGATATATTATTTAATTTTAAATTTTAATCCCTAGGACTTAAATCAGTAATGTAACAACTATAATTTTATAAATACAATCTTATTTATACGGATAACTTATTTTGTTTTAGCATTAAGTCAATATTGTTATATAAAATATTAGTAATCAAATGTTAGGGTTATTCTTAGACAGAAGTGGGCTTAGATTTTCAATTATTTTCAACAACCTCTTTAATATAAGATTTTATGTTATGTTACGTACTAGTTGAAATTTTTAACTTTTCCTTTCCCATACACAAATTTCAAAGCATATTTAGGTTTATGGGCCTTAGTTTTTCAGATTTTTTACTTAGATTTAGGGATATAAAATGCAAAGACTATATTTTATTATTTTCTGCTGTTACAAAAAGATAGATATAAATCTATAGTCAGTTATTTTTAAATCAATTTATGAACACTTAAAAAATGGGTATATTAAAAATATTAAATAATAATGTTTGGTAAATTCTCAACTATTTTTACATTTGAACTTAAAATTCCTAAGAAAGTCCTACACAATATCTAATCCATAGTTATGCAAGAACTAGTTCTCTTCTTACTGGCAGGCAGGAGAGTCAACATTAACGTAGAGTTTTTGAAAAAACTGGTGAATGGTTATATTGATGCTCTCTCACTTCTTGCGTTGGTCAATTTTATAGTTCCTTCTTGTACTACTAGACACCATATTCCTTTTGTAGTTCCTGCATACACTACCAACTATGGCAGAAATAATCCCTTAGATTGCATGATGCAGTTGGTCATTGAGAGAATCATTTATTAAAACTTATAAGACTAAAAATTAGGTTTTACTACTTCTAATATATTTATACTATCTTATTTATTACTTATAATATTTTTGAAATTATACCTAATCAATAAACTTTATTCAAGTTAAGAATAGCCTAAAAATTTCTTACATATCTAATGAATTTATCCGTTAGCATGACCTCCTTAATGTCAAAATCAGAATGATTGTAAGCCATTTCCGTTCCAACCTATATGAATGGGCGAATGAAATCTATTATATTTGTACTAAGGCTGGTAATGGAGATAAAAGTGCAATTTTTCTGTTTTTGTCTTGTAATCCATCCAACTTGAATAGAGAATAAAAAATAAATTTGACTAAAAAATAACTTACACTATTCATTAACAATTAATAAATAATTAAAAATTAAAATTATTGATTATTACTTTGAATTAAATTAAAAAATACATCGGCTAAACAGGCAAAGAAAGAAATAATATCTGTTGATTTTATATTTATTGAAAATCAATAATATGTGTTTTTAATTTTTTTTTAAAGATACTTAAATATCTAAAAGAGAAAAAAGAAGAACATATTAAAGAGGAAGTTGGAGTCTTGCCTAGTTTTAAACCAAGTAAATATATATTTTATTTTTTTTTGTGTTAAATATAATAATAATGAATTAACTTAATATTTAATTTGTTTCTTCATTATTAATATATTCTTGTGACATTTAAAAATAGATTATAAAATAAGGAAATAATATGTAGTTATAATGTTAATTTTTAAATTCCAAATAATTAATTTTATATTTTAGTTGTTGCCGATCTACCAATTCTTCCTGCAGCAACTGCTATTCAAAATCCTCAAGCGGCTCAATTACAAAATCGTATTTTAAACATATTGAATACATCCCTTTCTTCTAATACTCAACCTCAACAACCCATTGAATCTAATGTAACTGAAAAAGAGCCATCAAGTATTCTTCAAGAACCTAATGTAAAAAAAGCATTAGAAAGTTTATTTCAGGGTGGTTCCTTACTTAGAAAATAAATATATATATATATATAAAAATAGTACTTGTAAATAAATGAATATTTTTGTAGTTTGTTTTATTGTCAAACTTTATAACAACCATCATGAGTAGGTATATTTCTTTTAAAACATTTTTGTTTGTCATCTCAAAGTATTGTAATATTATAATATAAGTTTAATAGTTCAACATTACAAAAAATGTATTTAGGAAGTTTTCTTAATTATTTTAACAATTTATTTTAAATTTAAAGATATTACAAAATATACATTTTTCCATATTTAAATGTTCAATCTTGTGCAAAATTGGAATTTATGGAGTGGAAATGTACTCTGCAATTACAAAATTCTTAATATGTCAGTTATTTCAAAATGTATACAATTTTTTTTTACAATTTAAAAATTATGTGTTAAAATTACTATACACTTATTCAGTGACATAGGTATAGGAGAAGATTAGAGAGATATGTCTCCCCCTTAACTTCCTTCCTTTTTTTTATTTTTACTTAATAAATTTTTATGAGAATATACTTGTAGTTTGTAAATTCTTGTAAAATTTGAATTTTGACTGCATAAAAAAAGATAAAAATGTATTTTTATATTTTTATATTGGTATAAGAACAAATTGTGAAATTTTCAAGAAAATAATTCAAGAATTTCAACTTAGTTAATAACTTTTTTTTGACATTTTTAGAAAAAAAATATTTATCATGTCGTGTATTTAAAATGATAATTATTTGGATATATAAGTATATAACTCCCGAAGATCATCTAGATTTGCAATTTATTACTAGAAAGCATCCACATAATTGAAAATTTAAATAATTTTATAGCCTTAAAATGTGATGAAAGATAGAAAACAAACACATACCATTGTTAAGTCAATACACTCATTGCTCCACTCAAAATCTAAAATATGCAATAATATATATAATTTTTTTATAGACATTTGAAGTTTAAATTTGGTTAAAATTAAATATTTAAACAAAGATTAATGATTTTAATAATTTTATTATAATTTAAAAATATATTTAGGAATTTGAAAGTTGAAAATTTTTGCATATATAAGTATATTATTTTATTATACTATAAAATTTTCAAAATATTTTTATAAAGTTTAAGCTATTTTTCTATTTATCCCACAAAGATACAAACGATACATACCAATTAACAATTTCACACCATTATACGGTAAGTTGACCTGGTAATAAATGTTAAAAACAATAATATTTGATTTAAATTTAAACTTACCTCCTATTATAAAAATTATTAAATATTAATTTGACCAGATTTAAACATTTTTCACTTCTATTCAATTTTCTATACTAGAAACAAGTTTATCAATTCCTTGAAAAGCACTGCTCATCATTGCTTCGATGCATAATTATGTCAATTATTGACTTTAAGTTAAAAACTAATTTTTAACGATTTTATTCTAATTTTACAGTAAGTAAGTAAGTAAGTACACATTTTGTAACTCCATATGAATTCCGTCTTTATCTTCACAAATTAACATTTCGAGCATTTTTCAAGAACAAAAATTGTTTTATAGATATTATTACAATTTTCTTGCTATGATAGTGATATTTTCCGTTATTTTTAGCAAGAGTAGAGACTATATATTGATTATATAATGTGACGAACGACTATTTTCGTTGAGTAACTATAATTGATTTTACTATAATTTGTTATTATTTGATTTTTGTAAATATTTGTGTGGTAATAATCTGATAAAAAGCATTCAAATTGTTTTGAAGAAAATATATACATTTAACATATAGAAATATGCATTGAAAACGAACAAGTAAATTTTTATTATATAGGTTAATTAATTTTTCATTTCATATTATTTGAAATTTGCGCCCTTCTATGATTGGTTTCCGCAACACTTGTCACAGATTGCTCCCCCCTTAAACACGGTTTTGATAATAAATGCAATGTTTTTTGAAAAAATGTATTTAATCTACCATAGTACTAATAATAAAATTGATAATTTTAATAGCTATATCATTAAATATGACTAATATGAGTAGGTACCAGGCTTAATAATATAGGTTGACATATATCATCTTCGCCCAGAATCATTTTAGTTTACCTACATTATTGGATTCAAATTT